ACCGTGACCGTGAGTCACGGCAGTCACGGCGGTCACGCAGGTGTCTACTCGGGACCTATCGAAAATAAATGCAGACCAGTAGATTCGAACATATGTACTTACGATTACGAAACTTGCATGAACCAGATGATCTAAATATGACATTTTCAGCCTGAATAAATTTGTGTTTCATCATGAAATATATAAAACGCTGATAAAATTTTTTCATGTATGATCTGAACTAATTGTTTTTTCAAAAAAAAATGAGAGGAAATTGCTATTATTAATAAAAAAATATTCAATATATAATCTTGACTATTTTGAAAGAAAAAAATTCTTTTTAATATATAATATTGGATAATTTGTTTTTCGGAAAAAAAATAGGAAGAGACTGATGCTATTAATGAAAAAAAAGTAATATATAATCTTGGCTAATTTTTTCGGAAAAAATTGAGAGAAATTTATTGCCATTAATAGTTGACAAAATAATCGGAGTTGTAATAAGTCTCCTTGTATGAACTGGAATTTTTATGAACAAATATATAGTACTTTGTTATCAATTACAGTTGAAAAAAAACTGAAAACATGTTAGAAAAAAATACGACAAATCTCACTCAACTGCTCTCTTTAAGACTTGAATATTTAATTATTTCAATAGTTTCTTCATCATTAAGAAATCTGTACGAATGTTTATGCAAAATATGTGATGACGATCTAAGAATAAAACACGAAGAACGTTTTCGAATGTAAATATTCGGAATTGTTGAGAATGTTGTATTATTCGTTTTAAATTGTAATAAATGATGTCTTGCAAACTCATCAATAAGATCTTCTAATAAAATAAATATTTTTCCACTATCGTTTGGATCGGTTACAATTGCTCTAATAAGTCCTAATTTAGTTTGTCGTCCAAATACAAATGAAACACGACAATCGGCGAATTTACGAGATTTTATGGATGATAAAGTTTTATATTTTATATGTTTGATGACTAATTCATTATGATACAAGAATTTTCTTTTTGTAATTAAGTTCAAATGCTTCACCTCATCAACATAATTTGTAAAAGACACTTGTTTTCCCACGTGTATTCCTTATTTTGATACTAATTTGCAACTAAGAATACTTTCATTAAAATAAAATAGTTTTTCTGGATAATCACGTTTGAATACATCAATTATAGCTTGTCGATAATATTGTAAATTTGAAATTAATTGTGGTCCATAGTGTGTCATACCATGGATCATGCACACCATGTCATGACCAAAGCCTGAAATAGTAATTAAGAATAAACAGAGCCTGAGAAATTCTTTTTAAACCGACGATAAAAACTATTGAATTGTTAGCAATTTTTGTGTAATGCGTAGAAAATGAAAGAATAGTGAGAAATAAATGATCAGGTAGTTATAGCTCATTTAACATTGAATTTTGATAACTCATGATATTCTAAAAACATAACTCTTTTTCAAATCGCTACAAACGAGTTAAACCATCTTAAATGAATTTAACGTGACCAAACTCATTGTATTACTTTTATTACTGATGTCAAAATGTAATTATAATCGCATCAGCTAATAATTGATGATGATTATTTTTCCTTCAATTTAAAAAAACATTTATCGTTCAAGCAAAAAAATTAAAATAATCTTTATCAACATTTGTCTATACTTTTGTTCTCATTATTATGAGATAATATGCATGATAGAGAATTATATGTAATAACAACACGTAGTCTACAAACTAACTTTCAAAATTAAAAGTACTATACATATATAAAGGACCTAGATATTGTATTGATTTATGAATATGTAAAAGTGAATGTATATTCGATGACATATGACGAAGGTCAAATATCTTTTGCCAATATTTTACATATTGATGTAATAATCCTTTGACTAATATTATATCATAATTGTCAATAACATCTTTGGAAGTAATGTTAACGGCAGCTAATAACAATGCAAAATGTCGACGATATTTTGGTAACATTGCTTGTAACAATACTGTTGAACCGTGATACATTAAAAATCTGAATTCGTTCGTCTTGAAACGTGCAATATGTTATATTGTTCGAAATCTTCGACTTGTAGTAGTAGGAATTTTAACAGAAGACAACCCTTGATCAATACTATTTATTTTATTATAATGCAACCATTTTTGTTGACGATCAGTTTTGGATTTAGAAAAAATCAACAAACAAAATTTTTTAAATACACCTAAATATAATGCATGCAATGAATCAAAGAGTATTGATTCACCAAAAGCATAATATTTTAATTTTGTTAAAGAGCATGGACCTAAAACAAATAAATTTTACAACATATATGTAGCAAATAATCATATAAAATTCTCTTCTGAAATACTCTCCCAAATAATCTGATTAAATCCAGGCATCCTAGACAATATTTAGACAACGCTTACCAGCATGTCCTTTAACAGGAGAGTCATGCTGCTCGGCTTCGATCACCAGATTATTGCATATGGAATCATTCCTGGCTTCATCATTTCTATACGGGAATACTTTGATGGTACTTTTTCGTACATTGTTCAAATAGACAGTAAAATTTTCACCTAAAATAATGCAATAAATTTTGAATTTGAAGAATGAAACTAAATAATAATTAATGTACCTTCAGTAAAGCATTGTGCACAACTATAATTAACATTGTAGGAGACCATATTAGTCAATAACGATTGAGCTGGTTTATCTGTACATGACGCAATAATAAAAAATTTAATATTTTGTTCATCTACACCAGGAATAAAAAAATTAACACCAGCTTCTAATTATGCACATTCTTGATATATCATGCCCAGTATAGTTCGAAATAATTTATTAGTTGGATGATTTGATGTTGGTAAAACACCACCAAGAATTATAGATTCCGAATATCGTCGATTTGGGAAAGGGATTTCGTTTATCATAAAAGTTATTGGCCATAGAGATACATGTTTGTTTTTCGTAATAGCACCATCAGTATTAAGTATCATAGTAAAGGACTCTTTTGATTCCGAATTTAGTATATGACCATATTTTGTTGCTTGAAGATTTTCTTTATAAATCTTTCGTTGATATTTCATTTGATTAAATATATTTGACATGAGTAGCAAATGTTGAAGTTGTTCCACAATGGAATACTAATAAAATTCTATCATAACACTGGATTTACATTGAAAACATTCAGAACACTTCTGGTCGATGGTTTTTATACCACAGGCGTTACAAAGGACGGGGGCGCATAAGACCGTAATTTGGCCCATTGAACTTTTCATACTATATCCAGCACAATCATATATAGAATGAAAGAGCTTCAACTGGCGAGTACTTTCCAATACATTTGAGGACTTCCTACCTTATGATTTTAAATGAACTTATGACGATTACATAGTAATTACATCACAGCCTTTCAGATTAGTTTTCTCCATATAAATTCAAGAAATTCAGCTTCAGTTATACATCATCGAATAGCTCTTTTCACGGGCTACAAAATCATATAGTTTTTAAAATTACTAAAGGTGGGCCCATCAAAAAGTCCAAGACCACAAAGTAAAAACTATGCCAATTTTTACATATAGCACAATATATTTGATTAATTATTTTCTTAAAACTCCGTATCAGCCAACTTCAATTATACACCATCGGATAGCTCTTTTCACGGGCTACAAAACCATATAGTTTTTAAAATTGCTAAAAGTGGGCCCATCAAAAAGTCTAAGATCACAAAGTAAGAACTATGCTTGGTTTTACATATAGTACAACATATTTGATTAATTATTTTCTTAAAATTCCGTATCAGCCAAC